GTCACCTAACAATGCCACACAAGATAAAGTGGGGTCCACCAAAATAACTTTGTGAATATAATAGTGACGTTTCTCAAGGCATTACCCTAACCCAAATACCAAAACAAAGTTCCACACCTTATTAGATTATAAAGTTATTCATTGAGTCTATTCACTAAATGATTTTTATTTATATAAAAAGGCTTAGATTATTATAAGGAAAAAGTATAAACTCGAGGAAATATCATATACTAAGGATTAGGCTAGCAAATTTACACATAAAGTGTTTATTAGTCGTACTGATCAGCATCCTGCCCATGTTGTTTTTGTACACATGTTAGGCTTCATTTAGATTAGGGGGATTCCAAATCTATGGATTTACATGACATTATAAAGTAAACTAGTTCGTTTAGACTAGTACAATTCATGTATGCCAAGATTTGGATTAGAAAGACAAAAAGAACATAAATGGGTTTCAAATAATTCCTTACAAATAGTCATTTCAAATCCTTTTTTTATATAGCGATATTGGGAGAGGGGGGAAATTGAACCTATGTACATCTAGTTATTTCAAAATCGAATGTGGTTCTTATTTTTACAACAAATTTAGCTTTGTTTTCTAATTCAAATCCATTCTTTTAAATCCGTCCATTGAAAAGGGACATTAGAGTTTTGTTAAAAATAAATGAGGTCTAGAGTAGGTCCAACTTTAAATAAACAAGAAATCATCGCGTCATTTGGTAAATAAGTTCAATGATTGTAACAATACTCAACTGATACTACTCTTTGATCATAAGAGAGAGGAGGATGATTATGAAACCACGGTCGCCAAATTGCCATAATTAACATATAATAATTGCATTTCTCAAGGAAATAAACACACCTCCCCCATAAAAAAGTTTCAATAATCAAAATACCCTTTCTTGGACTTGTGATGTGCGTGACCAACATACACACACACACACAAAAGAAATATATATATTTGTAATAAGCAACACTCTATATATATCGTGATTTGCGCAAATGACTAGCATTGGATGCTAATTATAATCAAATATGGGTGCTAACAAACATTTGACCAAAGCTCTACAAGAGTGTCTTCATAGTCAAGCAATCCCTAGCACTGCCTTGGAAAACATCTGTATCCCATGTTCTTGCATGTTCACATGCAATTAAAAAATTTCATACACACACCAACCATCAATCCCTCTCTCTCTCTCTCTCTCTCTCTCTCTGGGAGAACAACTATACTACTTTTATTCTCCAACATTTTTATATATACCAAACTTTATTCTATAGAAAAAGAAGGGGTAAAGAGGAGGGTATCAAGGAATAAGAATTTTTTTCTGTCTTGCACAAAGCTCCACTCTACAATAAAAGGGGGGCATAATTGGGGTCCTTGTTAACCTTTGCCTAAATATATCATCTTTTATCCAGTGGCCTTTGAAAAAGAGCTTTCCCAATCCGATTTAAATTCTTGTGTCATTTGAGACTTTAGTTTTCATTATTTTATTGTGCAAGAATTCGTCTCTATCTGGTACTGGCCATAAAGGGTTTCTTTCTGGTGTGATTTTGTCTCTGAGTAACCTAACAACCAGCTTGGTTTTTTCTTGGTGGGATTCAATAGAAGGATTAGAAGAAACCATAAAATACCAATCACTAGCTTTTCCACTTCACTTGCTTCAAGGAGCTGCTAAGATATATAATTAATAGTTTGGGATGCTTTGTCCATACACTACAATCATTCGATTATTTTAGATCAAATGAGTGATTGGTTCATGACACATATGTAAATTGTTTGCTTAAATTTGATAAAATTGGGTGTTACTCATACAAATTAAGTGTTTTAAGTGAACGATTATATTTTCTTCTCTTGTAACTTTTTATTTTACTCCTATAAATACTTATGGTGTGTTTACTAATCAGGAATTGAATTCTAATGATGGATGATGCCTGTGATCACTTCACATCAAGGAATTAAAAAGTAAGTGGGGCCCATACAAAATTAGGAATTGAAATCAATTCTTGATTGAGAGGTGGTATTCTAATTCCTAGAGATCTAATCCATTAGGTATTCATCTTTTTTACCCATTATATCCTCACACAATTTTAAAATTTTAAAATTTGTCATTTATTTTAACCCAACAACGAGGACATTTTAGTAATTACCACAACTCCTACAAAAATTCCATAAGGTTTAGTAAACAATTTCAATAGGAATCCAAAATCTAACTTTCCTCAATTCATATGGTTTAATAAACAACTTCAATAGGAATCTAGAATCTAATTCTCCTTAATCTAACTCCTCTTCAATTCAATTAATCTTCAATTCAATTTCTCATAATCCAATTATGGATTAGTAAACATGCCATTAATATATTGAAATATTTTCCAAACAATTATTTACGATCGTCTCTAGGGAGGTACAAGTGGTATCACCAGACATGCAACGACATATATGGGTTACAAAGTGGCGGAGCTAATATGTCTTTGTGGGGGGGTTGTGGGGCATGGGGTACTGGTAATTTCAAAGTTTTGTAGCCTTATATTTCAACTGAAATTGCAGCAATGTTTAAGAGTAATTGGCTTTTTCATGGAGCTTAGGGGGGCCGGGCCTTGCATGATGCGTACACAATTTTTTTCCCCCTAAAGTGTCTAGCCACCCATCATACTAAGTCTTTGATATTGACTTTTTTTCTCTAGCAAGTGTTTTTGTTTAAGTTTATGAAATTTCGTTAAATCTAGCTACAAAAAAAAAATTTCTTTTTTACTTTGGTCATTTTAGAATGGATTGCTTATGCTTGTGAGTTTTTATTTTGGTTTGTGTTTTAAGATGGATCATGTAGGGGGTTTGATTTAGATTCAAACCTTTTCTTTGGCATTTCCCTTGCAAAATGATGTTTTGTTACCAAACTCACAATTTGGTTCTAAACATGTAGAATACTGCTAAACTAAGGAAGCAACTTTGCTTCTTGCCATGTACTTGACTTGTAGTGCTTCCATTTATTAGCTCGAAAGGACAATTTTTGATGACCTTTGATGACAAGTCTATTTATTAAATCGTAAAGGCAACTTTTGATGACAATATCACAAAGAAAATTACGTATATAATAAATTGAAAATATGTTAATATATAATTTTTTAAGAGGCCTAAAATTTGTTTTGTAATTTTAGAGAGGTTCAACTAACACATTCAAACGTCCTTTAAGAGTCACAATTTTTATTTTACTTTAAAATGAAGGAAATTAAAATGTCCCACACTACTAAGCCTCAATTTTATGATACGGTATCTCCACAATACATGTGTTTCTCATGTCACATTATGCTTATGTGAGACTTTTTATCATTGTCGTATAGGATTCCTAAATCTTTGAACCTAGCTTGCCTTTATTTAACATGGTATCAGAGCATTGATCTTGAAACTTATGGTTTTTTTTGCTTTGCCTTGCTGGTTATAAAAGAAGAAGTACGACTGAAAAAGAAATAAACAAAGAATTATAAGAAATTATGGCGGATGCTCCACGGGTAGCAAATTAGGCTCCTTAATTCGAAATATCTAGTTTATTCCTCCAAATGTGAAGAAAATTCAATTTCAACATGTTTATTTATTTATTTTTATTCAACAACTGTCGTTCATATTTTAAACTTAAAGACTTTCTCTTAAACAAAGTAGATATTGTGTGCTACTAAACTAATGGACAAGTTTTTGACGCAAACTTTGTAGCTGATACTTTGGCTTCTTCTATCAAGTTTCGCAAACTTGAAATGAAACAACTCCTTTCACTTTCTGTTGTGTAGTTTCTCTTAAAGAAAAACTGAGGAAGAAATTATACATTATTTAGCTTTCAAGTTTTTTCCTTACTCTCTCTTTCAATTATTTTCCCTTCTATGCACTCCACATCTCATCCCACATTCCTCATGTTCTTGTTTTTTTTTTAACCTAACCCAATTACAAATAGGTATTGCATGCATATTATTGTTCACCTAAATTCTTTAGCATTTATCATAAACAAAAAAAAAAAAAAAAAAAAAAAAAAAAAAAAAAAAACTAATATCTTCTTGAGAGAGAGCCTTTGGAACCATCCAAAGCCAAACAAAAGCTGGTCAAAGCTCAAATACACATACAGACTCTAAACTTGTTATTACAGATACAAGGCAACATATCTATCTTCGTTTTTAGGGATCAAAAAGGACAGGCTGGAAGGATCCAAACCCAAACCCCACTTCCATAATTATGAATTATTATTATCAGAGACCAGAGATGTAGAGAGAGAGAGAGAGAGAGAGAGAGAGAGAGAGAATACATGGAAAGAATTCACAGTGAACAAGAGTAATAGAAGAAACTTCCACCCTCTAAATGAAAGTGATATTGCCACACACAGAAACCATTAACAGAAAAGCTTACATAAAGCAGAAAAAAGGAGGCCTTGGGTTTTCCTTTTCCCTTTCTTTTCTTTTCTTCCTGCCTCTGCTAAGCATCTTTTTCTTCACTTTTTTCACCTCTCCTCTCATTCCTTCCTTCCTCTTGGAATTTTTTTTTACTTGAGTTTCCCTTTGCTTTTGCTTCCCACCATCATTTCCTTGTCTTGCTCACCTATAATTTGCTTCATGTTCTGCTGAATTTTTGATGGTTCTCCTCTCTGGCATTGTTTGTTTAATCAGAAAAAGTTGCATTGCTTTTCTTCTTGGTTTCTCAGATTGATTTCCCTAATTGGGTATCTCTCTTTTGCTGTGAAAATCCCTTTGGAATTTGATTCTGGGATTGACTTCATGCAATGATCCTTCTGGGTTTTTCTTGATCATTCAGTTCTGCTTTAAGAATTCCCTCCCTTGAATATATTCTGTGTGAATTTTGTTTCATGAGCGCCAAGTTCTTGAATTTAGTCTCACTTTCACCTTCCTAATTGTCTAAAAATTCACTGTTTTTTCTTTTTTCACTCATCATACTTTGTGAGCTGTGTGATCTTCATTGTTAATTCTTGCAAATAAACTTTTTCTTCTGTTTGTTGGGTTTGTGATTCATGGGACTCTGTCATGGAAAACCCACAGAAAACCCAAAAGCCCAATCGCAAGATTCCACAATTCCCAGTGAAAGTGAGCCTTATGCACTCAATTCCCACTCCACCAAATCCTCAAACTTTCCCTTTTACAGCCCAAGTCCATTGCCAAGTCTCTTCAAGAACTCCCCTGCCAACTCCAGCGTGAGTTCGACGCCTCTGCGCATTTTTAAGCGACCTTTCCCGCCTCCCTCTCCGGCGAAACACATTCGGGCATTGCTTGCACGCAGGCATGGCTCTGTTAAGCCCAATGAAGCCTCAATCCCTGAAGGAAGTGAGTGTGACGTTGCCTTGGATAAGAATTTCGGGTTTTCTAAACAGTTTGTAGCTCATTATGAGCTTGGCGATGAAGTGGGGCGTGGGCATTTTGGGTATACTTGCTCTGCCAAGGCCAAGAAGGGGAGCTTGAAGGGCCAGGATGTGGCTGTCAAGGTTATTCCAAAGTCAAAGGTCTGAATTTCATTTCTTGGTTCTTTGGTGATCTCCTCAATGTTCAACAAGTTCAATTCTTTTTGAGTTATTGTTTGCAAAATCATAATTGAATTGTCCTAGTTTCCGTAGAAGTTTGATTAGATTGATTAGGTGCATATGCATACATGTTTCATTAACTAGGGACCATATGACCTTAATATCATGTTGGTAATATTCTTAATTCATATCTCCTATAACTCGTCTTGTTGTTTTATATATTTTAGTGAGCTGTGACGCATCTTAGCATATCTGATGTTGAGTAACTGTCGTCCGTGTTAGCTTATGCTGGAAATATCAGAAGGATATTGAGGATGTAAAGGTTTATTAGACTTTATCTTCAAGAGAATATTGCATACTCAACTTGTGTGTTGTGTTTGTTAGTCCTTTGGGTGTGATATAGACTGTATGCTTGCCCCTCTTAAGTGGCTCGTTATAGATGTTATTTTATGTCAAGGTGATAAGTGTATATGTATCAATCTATGCTCAGTGTCGATAGCTTCAGGGCTTTTAAATAGTGAAGGATCATGGCTTAGTCTGAACAAAAGTAGTAAACTAGGATATTGTAATGGCAATGACAATAAATCATAACTGCAACGCAGACAAAATCTTCATAGATTTCTTCTCTGTTGTCTGTTGCTATCAATATTTCTTACAATGCGGATCTTTAGATGACCCATACTTCCTTCCATGTCATACTATTAGACTGTGAACATACACTAATGAAAGATGTTTCTGCAGATGACAACGGCAATTGCTATAGAGGATGTAAGAAGAGAAGTGAAGATCCTACGGGCACTAACACATAAGAACCTAGTGCAGTTCTATGAAGCCTATGAAGATGATGACAATGTTTATGTGGTGATGGAGTAAGTTATGATTGCTTTAACTTTCTGAATATGCATCTTACTCTGTGTCTTAGGATGCCTTTGGCTTATTTTAGTTCTCTTAATACTGGCTTAAGATGCTGATACGACTTCCTGAATTTCTTCTTCTGCTTGGTTGCATCAGTACCAGGTGTCAAAGTTGCAACTTGTTGAACATGTGACAACGTGCATACATATGAGTCCCCTTAAGAACAATGTATACTTATTTTAGCAAGTGTCTTTTTTGACACCAAAGCCATTAGGATTTAGATGCTATGTAATCATGGTGCCTTGAAACATAAGTTTAATCTGGACATGGCTAAGTTACCCGTATGATCAATCTAGATGTGCAATCTACAAAAACAGAGATGGGCGAGTAGAATAATTTTAAAACCTGGTCAGATTTGACCCCAAAAGCATACAATTTTTTTCTGCCCAAAAACAAAAAAAAGGCATACAATTTTTATTGGGGGCGTGATCATTTCTAGTAACAAGTGCTGAATCAATTACGTGATTCATTTTTCCTTTCAGCTGGATATCATTTAGCACTGAAGGAAAGCACTATATATAGATATATAGATACGTATATATATCGATATATATTAGTAGTAAAATTATTCTAAGTAGGCCATCAGCAAGGCATTTGTTGCTATAATTTTAGACTTTTAAGATATTGGAGCTTAATCAATGTTATGTTCTCCAGGTTGTGCAAAGGAGGTGAACTATTGGATAGCATACTTTCAAGGTACCTGCTCTTACAATCTTTTCATTGTGTCACAAGGAAGAACGCAACTCTTTCTTTTTTGGAAGTCACTAGCCTGTTCTGTACCTTTCAAACTAGCTGAATTCCCATTTCTCTTCTCTAGGGGTGGCAAATATTCAGAAGATGATGCAAAGGCTGTTATGGTTCAGATTTTAAGTGTAACTGCCTACTGCCATCTCCAAGGCGTGGTTCACCGCGATCTCAAGCCAGAGGTAGTTCATTCACAAATATCTTTCAGTTTTTGAGTATCAACAGACTTAGCCCCTAAATACATGCTACCTTAGAAGTTGCATAAAGGTAAAAATTTAACTTGATTTTCTTAGGTCGAGGCATCTGCATATGCTCAAATTAATTTAAAAAAAAAAAAAAAAAAAAAAGGTAAGGTAATAATAATAATAATAATAATAATAATAATATTTTCCCTTCTACTGTTTTACTCTTAGATTTGAATGTCACCTATCCCATTGGCACCAGCTGTTTATACCATTGAGCAATATCTTGAATTGCCAAACAGCTTTAGGTTTAACTTGATTAATTTTAGGATTCTTACCTTTCACTTTTTTTGTTGCGCTAGATTTTCATACAGGGTCTTCCCATGGATATTGGATACATAGTGCTTCGTTGCCTGCATTAGTGGTTAATCTAAATTATACCTCTCGCTATTGTGGGAGCAACTGTGCATTGATTAATACGAGTTAGAGGCAGCTCACATCCTGCATCACTGACAACTCTGAAGACAAATGATTTTTTTCTAACTGCATCCATGCATTGTTTATTTTCTTAATATCTGGATAAATGCACCTACGTGCAATCTATTGATTGTTGAATTTCTTTTGTGGTCTGAAATTGATTATTGATTTAATGATGTGATAGATACAATTCCTTATTTGACTATATTTGTTCTCTTTTGCCTCATTCTCTCTTTTTTTAACCTTGATTTGGTATTTTCTGCTCCAGAATTTCCTTTTCACTTCAAGTGATGAGAAGTCCCCCCTGAAGGCCATTGATTTCGGACTCTCTGACTATGTAAAACCAGGTTTGGACTCAGGACTACTGCCTAAGATAAATCCTGCTCTAGTTAATTTTAAACGCCAGATTGGGCTCTAATACTTAAGTTTGTGCAGATGAGAGACTGAATGATATTGTAGGAAGTGCATACTATGTAGCTCCTGAAGTTCTACACAGGTCATATGGGACAGAGGCAGACATGTGGAGTATTGGTGTAATTGCTTATATCCTTTTGTGTGGAAGCCGACCCTTTTGGGCCCGGACTGAGTCTGGCATCTTCCGAGCTGTACTAAAGGCTGATCCAAGCTTTGATGAAGCTCCTTGGCCTTCTCTATCATCTGATGCGAGAGATTTTGTAAAGAGACTGCTGAACAAGGATTACCGTAAGAGGCTAACCGCGTCTCAGGCTTTGTGTAAGTCACCAAGCTCAGGGCCCTTCTTTTGACACCCACTATAGGATTATGTTTACTAAAGGGTACTTCTGATGTGAAACAAATTCTGGAATGAAAACAGTTAATAATCTGAGAGAAGGGAGATAGCACTCTGGCTTCTTTCTTTGGGAAAGGTTTCTCTCCTTTTGAAGATCAAATGGAGAGGGCCAGTTGCTAATCCTAACTGTGACATGCTTTGGGCTTCTCCTGAATGGCAGCGGGCCTGAGATAATTGAACTGTGTAGATTAAAACGTTATTCTCTATTTGAACTTTAAATGGAGAGGAGGAAGATCCTCTTTCTTTCAATCTATTCTAAGGGTGGTGTGATGGATTTCATTTTCTGCATCTTAAATTCATAAGTTTGTTGGAATTTCGGATACTGACAGCCAATTTTTTTAATCAGGTCACCCATGGTTAGCCAACTGTCACGAGGTCAAGATACCGATGGATATGATAGTGTACAAACTTGTTAAAGCTTATATATGCTCATCTGCTCTACGAAATCAGCATTAGGGGTACGCAGTAATAAGTTATTAATCTTTTTTCTCTTTGTTGGTGTCTTGCACCTGACTGAAATTGAAATGTCTTCAAATATTGCAATTAATTGTTTATTCTTAACTAGTGCCTCATTGTTATGTTCTATTTTTATTCTCTATCCTCTTCCTTTTCATCATTTTGGTTTCACGAGTATTATTCAAATTTGTCTCGTGATGTCTCCTATGGCAGTTCTCTAGCTTTTGGTTGAGTTGAAGCGAAGCTTTTCTTTTTTAGCTTTTGGTATAACAGTCGAGTTTGGGAACCTATACATTGTAGTGGTTGTCAGGGCTGATTTTGAAAGAGAAACTGAGGAATAACTAAAAGAATAGAATCTTTGAGAATCGCTTATTGAAATAATTGCTTTGTATCTATCTCAACTTTGTAAAAAATGTAATGCCTTGGAGTGATGAATATTTTAGGAATACTTTTGCACATTCATTTATCTTATTCAGCACATGTCATTGGTGTAAATATCTGAAATTTTCCTTTAAAGCAATACCAAAATGGAGTGAAAAACTTTTGCCATTTTGACAGACTCTTGCAAAGACATTAAGTGTAGCACAGCTGGCTTATCTCCGGGACCAATTTACACTGTTAGGGCCAAATAAAAGTGGATTCATCTCTATGCAGAACTTCAAGACGGTCAGCACTTTTTCCTAACTATTGTATTCTGTTAATAATTTATGAAGTCATTAGAACTGACATTGGCATTCAGCAGGGTGTAATAAGGAACTCAACTGATGCCATGAAAGATTCACGGGTTCTAGATTATGTCAACATGGTAATATCTCTAAGTTCACATATCTTTTAGTTTATCTTAATAAAAAGTCTCTGTATAATAAGAATTACAGCTGAATTTGCAGTCGTATATATGTGTCTTGCAGATCAGCTCTATCCGATATAGAAAGCTGGATTTTGAAGAATTTTGTGCAGCTGCCATAAGTGTGCATCAGCTGGAAGGGATGGAGAGCTGGGAGCAACATGCAAGACGAGCATATGAGCTGTTTGAGAAGGATGGAAACAGACCAATTATGATAGAGGAACTTGCCTCGGTATGCTCTCTCAGTGAATAAAAATAGAACATAAAAAACCCTCTTTATGCTAAACATTTTCCCCCATAAATTTCTATTTTCAGGAATTGGGGCTTAGCCCATCTGTACCAGTTCACGTTGTTCTCCAGGACTGGATTAGACACTCGGATGGAAAACTTAGTTTTCTGGGGTTTGTTAGACTACTACATGGAGTTTCTTCACGCACATTTCAGAAGGCTTAAACTAAAACTGGTCTACATGCAGTTTTGATACCTCCATCCTTACTCTCGAGGACTTGGAATGCCCCAAGGGAGCAAAATGTGTGCTTAATTGGAGAACTTCATTTTGTTTTGGTCCCTAGGAGGGTCTGCAGTGCATGCTCATGTCAATTTTTTTAAATTACTTTTTCTCCTCCCTGTTAAGTTATATAAGGTTTTTCCTTCCCTTTCTTCTCTTCTCTCCATGATTGGTGCTGTTGAAGTCTAGAGGATTGTACAGGTGAGAGTAGATCACAGAATGTGTGTAGGATTACCGATTACAGAAGTGTTCTAAACTGGAGTGAGTTTTGTGGTCTCTGGCGTTCATCCCTCATGTAGTTATATTGCGCTTTAATTTTCCTAATAAAATCTTCCTCTGATTTTATTGAAATTATAAAGAAAATATTGATTAGATACCTTGAAACATTTTTGACAAATCAGTAGTTGATTTTTTCTTTTTTATTAGGTACCAAGCAAAGGCTCATTTGTTTAGAATAAGCCACAAATCATGCTTTTATCTTGACCCAAGTTGTTTTGGGTGCTAATGCAATGTGTGTTGCTAGGCCTTTAGATTTCTATTAAAGTCCTTTTTTCCTTTTTTTCAATATAAAAAAAGTATGAGGATGTGTGAGTGGTTGATATCTTGATAGTTGATTGTTTTGAATCTACAATTGTGCCTCTCCTTTTATCTTTTTCTTCACATTTCATAAGGGTGCACTCTCCTATGCATTCATATGTTTATTTTTGACATGATATAGAATTTTATTTATTTATAATCAAATAAAAATTCATTAGATAAATTTCAACGGTACAATCAAAGACATTAACAAGACATTTAAAATACTAATCCTAAGAGGGCAACAAACTAACATGCTAAAAGCAAAACTAACGCGAACAAAAGTCTCACTAAAACTATTAGCCCACATAACTACAATTAACCATAAGTCCAAACAAAGTCCACAAACCCAAACCCTAAAACAATCCATGAGCCTAGATGAACCCTATTGCCACCACCTAAAGAAGCGCCGTCACGGCCATACTCATCATCGCATCCGTAACAGATCTGGGGAAAATATGATTTTCAGCGATCTACCTGCGCATAAGAGCGAACAAATAAACGAAACTAACGCAAACAAGATATAGAAATTCAGTTGATCTTCTTTGAGTAATAACCTTGTAGGACCACTCGGCATTGAATTTCAATTATATGAACCGTCTATCCTTTCGATATTTCCTCAAAGATCATCTCTGCAAAAAAATCAATTGAATTCAAAATCATTTGATCATTTAATTAATGGTAGTTATTTTAGTGTTTTCTTGAAAAACCATGGTCGTCTATTTTGTTAATCACAACTAGATGTCTAAATGATTTCAATTTATCTAATTTTTTGTAAGGATGATCTCTTAATAATGACATGAAAAATATATTATTTGAATTGTTGAAAAAAAAATTCGTAATGGACCTGGAAAGGTATCCTTATTTGAGGGATCTCGAGGTATCTTTAGGTTTGGTATGTATGTTAGTGATCTTAAAAAGACCCTTAAAGGTATCCCTCAATAAAATTTTATGTATGTGTATGTTACATGTTCTTCACGTGTAATACGGATAAAGGGTCGTTCGGAAAGAAATGTCCTTGAAATCCATGAAATTCGACCCGAAGGTCCCATCGGAAAAAAATCCCTTTGTCCCACCAGAAAAAGGTCCCTTCGGAAGCGAAGAAAACAAGCATCTACACAATCCTGTGTTGAGAGAATAAGTAAAGAGGCACTCATAGGTTCGTTAGTTCTCTCTCTGGCGTGGCTCTTTCTTGCTCCATTGCGCAGATACACTATGCCACACTAATTGTGGGAACACATATTTTGCTGGCCAATAAGAAGACGACATGTGGAAAGGGAATAAGTAAACTCCATTTCTGTGTTTCACTTTCAACAATCTCAATACTCTTGGTGCAGCATTACCACAATACAGTTTGCTCATTTAATTTCTTGTAAGTTCTTTCATTTATACTATTCTCTTCGTATGCGCTTCCGTGCGTGCGAGGTCTTTTTTAATCACATAGGACTTAAATTTTCCATATATATAATCAAATTTGTTTCCATCTTTGCAGGCATGATCAGAAATCAGTCTCGAGGAGTATGAAAACAAGCATACAGATTCATCTGTAGCCCATGTTGAATTTTTCTCCATCCACTAAAATTGGCAAACCACTTGGAGAATTGTTATCAACTTTTATTCATCCACTAAATTTTTTTCCAGCCCTAACGCAGTGTTGAAGCTTTTCTTTCTCCGATAAGATTTCTTCCTTTTTATGCCCGCTTTTCATAGTTGTTTGAATGGTTTGGTCTTGTCTTGTCCATAGAAAATTTTCCAACACTAATGCAAATGGAGCTTTCTTTCACACTATCACAAGTGGCCTCTGAATTTATGAAATGTTCTCATTTTGAAGTTATTTTCTTTCTCCGATATATAGTTTTTCTTTACTTTGTGTCATGGATTAATAGGTTGTGTCATGTATTGTCACGCGACAAATTTCTTCGAAAATTTTGACAAAATACGATGACAGAGACCAAAATGTGCGAGTCAAAAAATTAATGAGCACATTCATTTGAAGACTTTGGAAAAAAATAGTCCACAAAACTTTTTCCAACACTGAAGCTTTGTCTTTTTTTTATTTTTTCCTGTAATGACATCTTCGCCTTTTTATTAAAATTCAAATTGTGTTTAGAGTTTTATGCATCCACTACAATTTTTCCGACACCAAGACAATGATGGGTTTTTTTTTCTCCGTGATATGATTTCTTTCTTTTATTCACACTTCCAAAATTGTTTGACCTTTTCACTCATCCATTATCCAACACTCACAGTGAAGCTTAATTTTTGAAGTGGCTTCTGTATTTGGTTCTTCTTTTATGCATTCTTTATATAAACGAAACTCTGTTTCTGATTTTGACAGCAAAAGGAGAAATAAAAAACACTTGGTTTCTGATTCCATTGATTTCTGCAGCTGGGTTGGCTTACATGCACCCATTCCACCAACTGGGCTGTGGGTAAGCTTGTCCCACATCGATCCACTGGGCTGTGAGTGAACTCCTTATAATTCAGCCTCTAACACACAAGGTTCGCCTCGTGAGGAAAAATCCCTTTGTCCCATCGGAAGTGGAAATCCTGAAAAAGGAGAAGAGTCCCATCGGAGTAAGTCCCTCCTCTTCGGAAGCAAAGAAAATAATCGGAGATGGTGTGGAAGAGTATAGAAACAAATGTGCGCATATTAAGCAGTAGTGAATATGGATAGTGAAATATGCCAAATTGAGCCTATATAATATCTGTCTTTTCTCCTTTTCTGTTATCTGTTGGCTGAAAAACAACTGAATTTCAAAGCCAAGAGAAGATTTTGATTTGTATGCAATTGAATAAGAGTTTCACTTGGTTGAAAATTTTGAAAGTGTCTCCATTCAAATTTGTTTGAATTTGCCCTTGGATTCTTTTAGTTAAGAAATAAACCCCAATATGCCTCTCTTAGTTAAGTTGCAATTCTTTTAGTTCTCAACAAGTACAAGGATTCTAAGGATATGTCCCCGCTCGAACTGAGAGAAACTTTGATATGTCCGATTTTTATGAGGACAAGAAAGATCACGTGGATGACGATGACGAAAAGTTTCAAAATTTAGGGAAGAAGATTTTTGAGGGGGAATACTCGACAAAGTTTCAAAATTTAGTGAAGAAGATTTCTGAGGAGGAGTACCCGACATGGGACGATCGAATAGATGATTTTTTCGCACGACGAATTGACTAAGCTCATTGCTTCACTCGAATCTAAGATACAAGTTGCGACCAAGAAGATTGATTCTATGGAAAGATATATGGGGTTTGCTAAGAAACAAAATCAAAGTTTCGTATGGGAAAAGACTAATTATGATGAGCAGCCGGCCTATCAAGTCCCTGCTTTGATGTCTCCTCCATCACTGGTGCATTATCCAGTGTTGCCAAGTGCATGGGTTTCAAGCTCAGAATCAGAGAAGAGCTAATGACAACTTGACAACCTCAGTTCGATTTTGATCCTTTGTAATCGAATTTCTAGTATTGTTTAGTTCTATTTTGATGTACCTTTTGGCTAGGGATAATATAGCCTTATAATTTTTGTTCACCTTCCATGAAGGTCTCATATTTAAGGCCAGAGCTTAGCAATTATTTCATATTTCTATTCAATTTAATTCTGATGTCCATAAAAATATATGGTTTTTACCACGAGTCCAATAACATAGTTCTGTCATACATGAGCAGTGAGCAGTTCTTCTATCTCTCTCCGAGGTTGTATGATGAAGCTAAGATTATTCTCTGAGTTGGTACGATTAAATAACGAAACATATCAGTGGACAGGCCCTCTATATGTTGATGAATTGGTGGTAATCTCAATCCAAGGTTACCAGAAACATCACTTCATGTATATTTATTTATTAACTGTATTAATGATTGTGTGGATATTAGAGAACTTGATTAACTTAGTTTGGTGGAGGTGAATATTATGCTGGAATGAGTTGAGGCTCATCATCTGATGATTGGGAAGATAATATACAGGTGGGGACTCAGAACCGACGCCAATCCATAAAGCTTGTTTTCCTGCTGCTGTTCATCAAGGGAAGGTTGGTTAAGGTTGTTGTGTATGGTTTTGGACAGGTTATGATTATATTCGGTTTGATGGTCATTATATTGTTTCATATGACGGACGTTGTTAGTGCTGTGGAAACAGGGGCTGGGAAGAAACTAGCCTTTGGTTTGCCCATTTTGCAATGCTTGTTGGAGGAAGGAGAAAACACTATGAAGATGCTTGAAGAAAAGTGTTCACCCGTTTTGTTTATGCTCCTGTGATGGAAGGGTAAAATTCCCTATTGCCTTGGAAACCATTGACTGGTCAACAAACCAGCTTTCTTTGGTGTGCGAGCGTGTCATTGCTAGCCTTGAAAATCCTAGCAGACTTCTTTAAAATGGATAACTTGCGCCCCAAATTACTGATTTCTAAACAAGTGATTGTGAATTTGGGTGAGGAATATCTCCCAAGTAAGTTATTTCTTGCCTCAGACTGGTGATGACTTCACAATTTATCAC